GATAAAAATATAGGCCGCATTGCAACCAAAATCTGGTATATTTTATTCTTTAGAAAACATTCAAATGTCTGAATATTATATGAAAAACACTGTTTTTAAATCTAATTGCTGGTAAATACAGCTTCGGGGTGAATTATATTAATAAATGCAGTCTTACTTTAATGTTGACAAATATGGAGACTCAGGGTAAGTACAAAAGTTATAAAAAATATGTAGACCTAAAAATTCAAAGAAAGTTGAAATTGTGTCTTGGAAACACATAAGTACCCGAATAATTTAGAACATATCTGAATCTGTAATTATGAAATTATTATTGCGTTTCTCTTTTATATATTGGGTATATAAATAATTAAATTGTACATCGATTTCAACATCGCCTCAAAATTGTACGTGAAGTATCCTAATAAATCTTGTTTTTACTTACTGCTTTAAGCTTCTATTACAATTTTGAATGTTTAGCCTGACATTACTTATTTGTTTTAAGTGTATGGATCACAATTATAATAAATACTGATGTAAATTAGAATATTTATCGTTTGTACTTTGTATTTAATTTTATATAAAGTGTTAAACAAATATTGAAAATGCAATGCCGTAACAACAAAAGAACTACAACGAAACGTAAGATAACCCATGCACCTTCACCTACCGTTGAAGAAGAAGTTGAAAATGTAGAGTATTTGGATGAATGTGTCGCGGACGAAATCGAAGAAGCTAATGGAAGTGCACATAATAGTCTGCCACAGGGGCTCATTAAAACGGAAACTGAGTTTGAGGATACATTTTATCCAAATGCTGTACACTGCCTTATAGCTCTTTACCGCGATAAATATGAAAGGAATATGAAAGATCCTAAAGGAATTCATAGTATATACGAAAGCGTCTGGGACGACATTTCTAAAGATATGCGTGAGAGCTATTTTGAGTTTGACGATCAACAAGTGCGCTACAAGTTCACACAACTTCGTCAACAATACTTTAATGTTTCCTCCAAAAAAGAAGCAGAAGAATTTGTTTTCTTTCAACCACTACACGAAATTTATAATGATAAATTAATTACAATTATGGTAAATAATGAAAAGTTCTCTTCACGTAAAAGTAAACACATACGGATATATCGAGATGATGTACTCTTCAACTCACGCATTGAAACTGAGAGGCGTGCCACTGAAGAAAGACCACAGCAAACAGAAGAAATACTAGTAAAAAGCCCGAAGGGACTAGTAGATTGTGATGTAGATTCAGTAGACATAAAAGATAAGAATGGACATAGCGAATTAAAAGAAAGTCCAGTCATAAATTTGGAATACTCAAAAAATAGGATTCCTGATTCAGAATCGGACGAGATATCCAACACAAAACGGAAAACAGACGATTTCAATGGTGAAAGGCTTAATATGACACTTGCAGATTACAATGCAGCTCAACAGCGAAGACATGAAGAAAAAATGAGCGTGTTGAGGCAAACACTTTTATTACAAGAGCGAGCTTTAGATATACAGAATAAACTTTTGGAGGAAATTGTTAAGAGAGTCAAATGAACTCAACGTATCCCACAACATCAATGCGTATTCTTTTTTCTAGAATTCTTTCAAATAAATAGATCTCATTAGTACATCGTTAGTTTTTATTTCCCGTAAGGAAGTTGGGTAAAGTCGAAGTCTTGATCTTTCAGTATTTTCCTTAATTCTCTTTGCAAAAGGTCATGTAAACATTCGCCGTTATGTTTGTAGATCCATCGACCTAACTGTCCTTTAGTTGATACGAAATCATAACGTTTCGGTCCACTTGTGGGAGAACTGAGCCAAATCTGTTTGTTAGGCGTCTGACGATTTATAACATAGGTGCCATACTCATTACCAAATTTAACAGTAAGTACACCATCCTGTGAAATAGAAAAAATTTAAGTAAATATTTGATTTATCTATGAAATTCTTAAATTAATACTCCATAGGTAACATCGCAAGACGATACATTTTGAGCATTCTCTGTGAGTTCTTCAAAGTAATCACATAGCGCGTCTAGAGTCTCAGAGCAAACTCGCTCATATGTGTTGCTATCCACCAAAGTTGCGTTTATGTCATCCTTGCTTTCGGTTGTAGACGCAAATAATCTGTGTGTTGACAGTACTTGAGGAAATGAGGAAGTTGAGTTTATTTGCCTACGCAAATGTAATAATTGTCTTCCGAAGTTTTGTTTATATAAATTTCGTCCATGATTTTGATTAATACAAATTCTTAACGCACGTAAAACCAATAAACTCGACATTCTCTACAATTATCAAATCAGCTGTTCAAGAATTTATAAACGTCAATTGAGATATAATTTTATTTATTATTTGTACTGCTGGCAACACTGCATTTTCGATACTTAATAGACCATTTTGTAGAATTTAGTGAGATTTTCTGTGGGCAATACCGACGCCAAAAATTTTTGTGAAATTAAGAAATAAAAACTTGTATATTCTAATATTTTTTAAGACGTAATGTCTCTACCAAGTAATTACAAACAAATTGCTGTTGGTGCGCCTACAGGACCGCCAACCTCTGCACCTAGTAGCGGCTCTGGAAGTAGTCGCTCACGTTCTTCGGCTGCTGGTGGAGGTTCTGATCGAAATAAGGATACTACACCAATATTTACGCATAGCAACTATGGTAATCCCGCTTTTACGCCTCAAAAGGCAGGCAAATCATCCAGTTCGAAAAATCAGTCAGAGTCTCGTACGCCTAAACCACCAAAGCCTCCAGAGAAGCCTGTGCTGCCATATATGAGATACTCGAAACGTATTTGGGATAGTGTTAAGGCACAATATCCAGACTTAAAATTATGGGAACTAGGAAAAAAGATTGGTGCAATGTGGAAACAACTAACTGAATCAGAAAAGCAAGAATTCATTGATGAGTATGAGGCTGATAAAGTTGAGTACGAAAAAGCATTGAAAACGTACCACAATTCACCGGCTTACCTTACATTTCTTGCTGCTAAGAGCAAAGTTAAGACAGATTCCGATGTACACGAGACACCATCTAGATCCAGTGGTAAAAGTCAACAGGAACGACGTATTGATATACAACCTGCAGAAGACGAAGACGATCAGGATGAGGGATATTCATTTAAGCACGTAGCATATGCGCGCTATTTGCGCAACCATCGGCTTATCAACGAGATATTTTCTGACGCTGTAGTACCGGATGTTCGTTCTGTAGTAACTACTCAACGTATGCAAGTATTGAAACGTCAAGTAAGTTCACTTACTATGCATCAAACGAAACTTGAAGCTGAGCTGCAACAAATGGAAGAAAAATTTGAGGCCAAAAAACAACGTATGGTAGAATCCAGTGAGGCTTTCCAGGAAGAATTAAAGCGTCATTGCAAACCTGCAGTAGATGAGGACACATTCCAGAAAATGGTAGTAAAAATATATGACGAAATTAAGCGAGAACGACAGCGTGCAGATGAACATCCTTCTGGTGGTATTTCTGCTGCCGGTATACCGCAAGGGGTGGGTACTCCTAATGAAGATAAAATCGTTTCTGCAACTGTACAAACTGGTACTGGTGTTTTACCATCTTCAGGTAAGATTCAAGACACATATTGAAACATAATATTCAATTATTTTTCCATGTTAAAATTGCTGCATTCAAAATTTTAGGAAAAAAAGATTCAGATATGGCTCTTCCAAGTACACAAACACTTCAAACTCCAAGAGATGGGAATGAGTGTAGCAGTAAAACAGAGCCAGAGCCAATGGACATTGAACCCAGTCCAAAACCATCAGCACCACTGGCCCCCCGACCAGAGGTACAGAAATCTGTTGGTAAAATGGGAGGGGAGTTAGTAAAGGAGGCAAATAACAAATCACCAACTTCGTCGAATATAAAACTTGGACAACCCAGTAAAGTACCAACACCTACACCCACCCCACCCCCACAAACTGGTCCAATAGAAAGCGCTGCTGCAAACCATGCTCTTTCATCTGCAACTGTATCAAGTCCACAATCTCAAATAAGTGTACCACCAACACAAACTCCACCACCACAGGCTGTTAATCAACCAAATCAACAACCGCCCCAACCGCAATCTGCTCAGCAGCCACCTCCGACCCAACCAGTTCCGCCAACAATACCAATGCACCCACATCATCCGCCTCCAACACATACACATTTACCCCCTCATTTACCACCACATCAATCCATGTCAGCTATGCCCCCTCATAGTGGGTATGGTAGCTACGGTGCCCCAACTGGTCCCACTCGATCCCCATACTATCAACCACAATATGGGGCACATCCTGCTCAGCCCTATGGACAATATGCTCCATATCCACACTACCAACAACCATACGGTCCACCTCCAGGCTCACATTATATGAATGCACGTCCACCACCACAGCACAACGGTTCGCCTGTTCATTATCCGGAGCATGGTGGACCTGTTTCAGCACAAACACAACAACCCCACGATGTTTATGGTCAACAATCACCCCATAATCCAGTTTTACCACAACAGCAACCTGTAACTGGTACAGTTCCACCATTAGCTGTTGCAGGATCGGGTAACGCAAGTGCAGCAACAACAGCTTCTGGCGTTGGTACTACGGCATCTGATGTTACCAAAACTGAGATTGAAAAGAAAGATACTGGCGCTGAGTAAATAAGGATAATCTTCACATGATTAATTTGTAAAATTTTCTCAAACCATTTGCCCATTTTATACTTATGCATAAATACTAAATAATAGATGGTCTTTAAATGTCTAAACTATAGAGCAATAAAGCTACTGAAGGTAATTATAATATATGTATGTTAATCATTACTTTTTGGGGAAGATTGTTTGATGGTGAGCCGATGGGAAATATTTAATATTGCAAAATGTTGATCATATTGCAATGGTTGTAAAATAAATCCGAATAATCATATCAATTATGGTAAAGAATGAAGTCTGGCAAGGCTGGATTTCGCCGGCCCTTTTGTTTTAAGTTTCTATCAACGTCATTTTGCTTTTTGCCAAAAGTGCGAGTGCAACACGAGCGACATACCTTTATTCATTCTTCCTATTTTTGTTGAATTTTCATTTCGAAAGTTTTATAATTTCGTTAATATTCGCAATTATTAAAAACATTTTAGAATTAAATAATAAAGTGATGCAAATATTAACTTCTACCAATAGATAAAAAGTGTAAAAATTGCAAAGACAAAACTCAAAAAAGTGAAAAGTAACCGCCTTTGCCGATTCCACGCCATTCGTTCGTTATAGCAAACGAACGACTCGTCATTTGTGGATTTTTGAGTTTTTGTTCTTCTGTTTACGGCTTATTCGCCGCTCGCCATTTACGCAGTGTCAAAGACTATCGGAATTTTTTTTATTTGTCGGCTTGTTTCTGAACAAATTGCTTTATTATCAACGGGTTTTACTCCAGGATTAATTAATCAGGTAAGTAACACATGTTTCTTAGTGGTAAATACGCATGGACTTGTAACAAGACAATAAAAGTATTGAGATACTCAACTACCGGCGTATTGAATTGTCAGTGTTCTTGAAACTGCATTTTCGTTTGTAAGTGCGTCCAAATGAGTCATTGGGTTGGACGCGGAAAGCAAAAAAGCAAAGTGTACGAATTTCTATTTCAACAAAGCGAGATTTGTTTGAAATAAAAAGAAACAATAATGTATTACAAATGAGCGCATCTGCGTGTTCTTACAATTACAACAATAAACAACGAGAAACCCGAATCATACAAACCGGAGAACATCGGAATAATTATGCAAGTATTTCGTGTAATTTTATGATCTGAATCCCGCTGATCCAAGTCGGTTCAGTAACCTAACCTCACTTAGTATTTATTTCATCGTTTATCCAGTCTTCGGTATGGGTATAATGTTTCTATTCATAATAGGTTATTATGTGTCAAGAGTTTGTTTCTATTAAAAGAGGTTTATTTTTCCCGCTCCAATCTCCATTGATGTTCTTGTCCATTTTTTATCCTATACTCATTATGTGGTGAAATACATCTGCCTTAAGATTTTAAGTTCCTGTCGATCATAAAAAAGAAATTAAACTACATATATAAATTTTTTCTGGTCAAGTATTGAAAGGCACTTTTGTTTAAAAAATGTTACAAATTTATTTAATTAGATCTGTGTTAGTTTTGGACGATATTAATATTATTTTAATGATTTTAGTGACTTTAATTTCTTAGCAATGTTGAATATACATAAGTCCATACATATCTAGCATCCAATTCTGACTACTTACAGATAAATCTCGTTGCATTCATCTGATAAATACATATGCCAAACAAGGTCGTTTTTAGGTCTTTTTCCATGCATTCGTAAGTATTGGCGTTAAATTTGTGAAAAAAGAAAACAATTTTCAAACGAAACAGTGGAATGCTAAAATAAACACCACAAGGCATAAGATTATTCATTCACATCAAATATTTAACAAAGTTATGTACACATTTATGTATATATAAATTATTGTGGATGCTGCTCTTACTTTGCTTTGACCACCTGTAGAACCGAGATTTTTCGTTAGTTGCATGGCATACATTTTAGTTTGATAAACTGCGGTTCATTGTTATTTCATATTTTCATCTCTTTCGCATTATTATTAAAACTTCAATGTAACAAAAGGTTTTTTTTCTATTTACTTACGTTGCGGCGTAGAGCTCAAAAAGCTTGAGTTACTTTGTTTGCAGGGAGATAAAATCTGTTGTGATGAGACCTACTAAACCTCAGTTATATAGTATATATTGCAGCATTTATAAATTGTCTCCTCTACTTCCAATGAGAATGGGGCCAAGGGAAGAGCAATGACTACTACTTAGAATTCTTTTAATTTTATTTGGTTATTTTAAACATTTGTTTTTTGCATGTGGAGTGGTATGTTTTTGCTATTCCTACTTTTTGAACAGTTCTTGCCGGCTTTGGTTGCTGTAGTGCGCTTCACTTTCTCGCATCAAAATATATTAAAACCAGTTTTGCACGATCTTTGTCTGGTTGTTGCGTGTATTTTTGGTTCTGAAGCTGGCAAGTACATATATGTGAGTATGTACACAGAAGTAGAAATGTGTATACTTTCGAGCTTTTTGGGTGTCTCCACACACGATACATAGTATGTATTTATGTACACATGGGCGATATTTGGGACCTATATTCCTGTGAGTGTGAATGCAGATAAAAACTAATTTTACAAACATAATCAGACCTAACTTCTCAGAATTTTTTTCAAATCTCTTGAACTTATGACATCATGCCTACTACATACATTCATACATATATTATTATTTTGCAATAATAGACGGCATTTTCGAAAACATGTTGGGATAGCCATGTATCTATCTAAATAAATACATATATAAACGATATGTATTAAATTGAGGTTCATTATGAATCGGTGACATACTCAAGCCCACCTGTCGAACCTTCGGTTCCTTTTTATAAATACAATAGAACTACTCTCTTTTCTCGTCACTATACAATTTACAGACACATTCGCTTGCTGTTGATCGCTAGAGGCAATTAGAGAAGAGAAGATATTAGAAATAAAATTACATTGGTCAGTAATGATTTTATGTAGTGGTTAATGCTTTAATTTACATTTACGGCACTATCGGAGAATTGTCTGAAAAATACTTTGAAAAACTAGAATATGCACTCAGTTGAAATTATTATTATGGTGGCATTTACGCAAAAAGAGAAATTCAAAGAGTTGTCTGAGGTTTGTAGATATGATAAAAATGGATTTAAACTGTGTTTATAATTCATTGGTATTTGTTTGATACATTTACAAACACCGACAAGATCATCTGAGAACGCATATTCTGTTATTCTCAACTACTTTTGTAACATCACCTTCTCCCCGACTACTGAAACTTTCCGCTACAGCTGCACACATTTACAGATGTGCGCGTATAAGTGCGAATATCTACATACCTGTATCTGTAGACAAATATGAAGCTTGCTTTTCGTTGCCTTAGCATGTCGGTTAAGGACAGACGAACGAACCAACGTACAAAACAAAAACCACGCAAAACACACACTGCAAAGAAAAGCTAACACATAGCATATCTATAGTCAGAATACGCGCTCATTTAATAGCTTGAAGCTCGGTTGGGGCTGGGTCGTTACTGTTCACACATGCACAGACACATACATTTGCGCGTGGTAGTATGTTTACAAGTGTATGTAGTTTGCGCGAGATTTTAAGCTCCGAGGATGACTTAAAAGCGGTTGCAGCGTGCTGAAACCTCATATGTTGATAAAGAAGTGAATAACACCGCATCCACTGTTGATAGCTCATTGTGTACTCAATTCACTGAGTTTTCAACAGTTCCTCGCTCGTTGGGGCTCAAATTGTCATGGCTTTCTGTTTTTGTAAGCGAATGTGTATATGAGTGTTGTAGCTTTGGCGTTCTACACATTGCTCTCTTTGACGCACTCGCTTGTTTCCATTAGTTTTCCAAATCGTCATCATTTTGCATTTGACTTTCGTTTCGAGCAGTTTGTTGTGCATCGAGTTTGTGTTCACGTTCACGTTTTTTTCCGCTCGCCGCCGTTTTCCACACAAGTGCAATTATTTCTTTCATTGCATTTGCAAGCTTGTGTGCGTATATTTTGTTGTGTGAGTGTCATTGTGTTATTTAACTCTTCACAATTGTTGAAATATTATTGCCGTGGTCAAAGTTATTCGCATGGAATGTGCTGGTAGTGGCTTCCTTCCTCCTCATGCGCCTATTATTTGGCAAGTGACGATAATTTGAATATTTTTTGTGTCGTTAATTTGAATTTTTTGGTATTTCGCTTTGTGCAATTCATTCTTCGAAAGTTGTCGTGGCGCGTCGTTGCAATCACTTGTTGAGAAAGTGAAAGATAAAAAAAAGAGCAGAAGCCAGCCACTAAGGCCGGCGCGGTTGACTGGTTGTCGCGGAAAATCATTTTGTGATTTCGAGTAGTGGGCATTGACAGCCATAGGTGAGGAAGTGTGGCTGGGGCTAGTCCGGGTACTGATACTGATAGTGCATATTTGGATTGTCTTCGGCCCAGGAAGAGTGCCTCTTTAAGTCATGCTGTTACTGCTGTGTTTATTTATATTGTAGCATATGCAACAGTTTTTTATTCCTAATTTTTTTTTTAATTTCTTTGCGGTTTGTTTAACAATCGTGTTGTTTCTCAATCACATATTGTCAGGAATTGTTTCTTCAAATTACTTTTAATCGTGAAGCCATTAGTCAAGCTTATTGCTAACCGGCTAACAGTCAAAATGTGGTAATTAATCACTAATAAAAACTCTCATGGACATCAAAATAACAATTTCTAAAACAAAATCGCGCATAGCGGGACGTTGGAACATTTACCGGTTAAAATGTTTATTTGTATGTACTTGTCAGGAGAACTTATTTTTATTCAATAAAGCCAGGAGAAATCAAGTGTATCATAGTTTACTATAATCCATTTGGAAATCAAAAGTATAATCACATTTGTTTAGTTTGCAGCTATCGAAATATGTTTGCCTCTCTAAGTGCAACATATCCTTGATTAAAAATTGTGACAAACACCATTTTAAGCATCTGTGATATTAAAGAAAAATAATAAAAGCGTCATATCAAAATTAATCCGGCTAGCGCTTTAACTTGTAAGTATTACTTCCATACATCTACGATCTACACCACAATATCCTCACACGTTGTTGACCAATCTATTATTTATCCTGCGGAGGATAATAAGAAGCATTTCTCCACCTGCGATTGATTGCATTGCCTTTAAAGTATTTACCTGCTGAAGTGTCGTAAAATACTTACATATATGTAAACGAAACTTTGGGATTATTTTCGCCCTAACACAAAAAATACGTCCAAGCTGCACATTCAAATGCTAATCTTAATTCATTATATTTTTTTCCTTATTATCATATTGTTGTTTCATTAATAGAGTTTCTCAATTCGGCTAGAGAGTGAATACTCGCAACACCCCTTTCAATTTTAATTTTTTCGAAGCAAGATTTTTTTTTTTATAATTCGTTACTTAAAATAATTTAATAAAAGCTGTTACTTGTTTATATATACCTGTAGAACAAATTTTGTTTCCTTTTTTAAACAATACACGTGCTGCTAGCGCTTCATCAATATAAAATAAGACAAAAGCAAATGTCTGCAACTTAAAATTATTGGCACCAAATTATCTCAATCCAATTTAAGCCAAAAATTAGGTAGAAATTATTTATATTTTGTCAGTTTCTATCTCCATATATGGTTGTGTACATATAGTATTCATAAAGCACAGGCATGTGTATTTCCATATTTTCCAAAATTCAGAACAAGTGCAACAGCACGTACATTTGTATGTACGTATGGAAGTATTGAAGCGATGTTGTCAAGGTTCACCAGGTTTTATGCGCTGCGTCGTGCCAAATATCTTATCTCCGTTTTGGTA